GATCTATACAGTGAAATAATAACATCTCTTTTCTTGTATTCAAAATTTCTTTTGTTGCTATCCAAAATCCTATTAGCTCTATTGCTAGCTACAATACACAGTTTAGATAACTTACGTGATTTTTCAGTCACAACGCCAAGGTCTTTTTTTCAACCACAGTATTCAATGTATTCCCATTTAGATTGTAACAATAATTTGAATTGTGAAAACCTACATGCATCACCTTACATTTTGGGTAGTTCAACATCATCTGCCACATACTGGCCCAATGCATCAAATGATCAAAATCTCCTTGTAAGTCTGCAGCATCTTTGATACAGTTAGCCATCCCAAATATCTTAATGTCATCTGCAAACTTCAAAATTTGGTTAGTCGTTCCAGAGTCAATATCATAAATATAAATCACAAACAAACAGAGGACCCAGCACAGAGCCCTGAGGCACACTGCTTGTAACTCTGATTCAGTAAGATCTAACTCCATTTATTACTAATCTCCAGCCAATTTTCTATCCAATTTAATAACATTTCCTCCACACCCACAGATTTAATTCTTCTAACAAGTCGTTTGTGAAGCATCTTATCAAACACTTTATGAAAATAATGGTAAACCAAATCCACAGTATTTCCTTCATCAACTCTTGCAGTAACATCTTCAAAGAATGTCAGAAGATTTGTTAAACAAGACTTAGTGAAACCATGCTAGCTCTTTGACACTATATCAAACAGTTTTAAGTTACTCTGTAATGTATCTTTAATAACACTCTCCAAAACCTTTCCAACTACTGATGTAAGACTAACTGGCTTATAATTGGCTGGACCTACCATTGCCTATAATTCTGATCTCATTATATGCTGTTTCTCATTAACTTCCACATTCTGACCTGGTGGTCTATAACAAATCGCAACTACAAAACTTTTCCCTTTATATCCACTAACATTAACCCAAAATGACTCAACCTCAGTGCTATTTTCTTTAATATGTTCTAACTCAACAGGATGCAATTCACTCCTCACATATAAAGCTACCCCTCCCCTTTTACCAATACTCTATCTCCTAGTATAATCTGTAGCCTGGTATTTCAAAAAAATTTCATCAAAGTTGATCGAATCCAACTAAGTCTCAGTGATGCCCATAATATCAAAATCTTCAGTTTCCACAAGTGCTTTGAACTCATCAGTTTTATTTCTAATACTCCTAGCATTACAATAGTAACAGTTGATCACAGATTTTAAAATACGTTCATGTTTTATGTCTGTTGCACATGTTTTCCTGTCAATTATATTTCCTATTTTACTAATATCATAGCCCTCACCTCTCTCTAGCCCCAGTTTAAATCTACCACTACAGCGGAGTTAATAGTCCTTGCTAACATGCAAGCCCCTGCCTTGTTTAAGTATAAGCCATCCATTCCAAAAAGATGAACTTTCCCATTAAAATTATCACGCAAATCTAACCAGCCTATTTGTTCATCTCTACGTATTCATCTAAGCCTGGCATTCAATCCTAGTAACCTACTTAGTATCTCATCCCCACAATTTATGCTTGACAATATCCCTGACAAAATCAAGCTATAACCCCTTTCCTTAAATGCCCTTATCAATGATTTATACTTACCAATAGGCTCCTCAGATCCATCTTTCCTTACATCATTAGCCCCAACTTTGGGGGCACACTGTGCAGTTTTAGCCCCCTGGATTTAGAACAACACTTAAGTCATTTAACATACAAGTAGAAGCATAAAATTTTGGACCTTTCCTATAAAGCTTAAAATAGAAAGCTTAATGTAATTTAAAACTGTTAGGAGTTTGGACAAGTCTTCTTGAGTAATAAAATGAAAAGACAGCAAATGCAAACTTTAATATTAGAGATAATAAGTTTAAGAACTGGAACCATAGATATATATATACTTTTCTTCAACAATACTCTTTTTGTTAGAATTGTAAACTTATGGGATGATTTGCTTAGATGATACGGCATTTGCTGATATTTTCTTTTGGTTTTAATAGTTTTATTGGCTAGGTATGTGGAAAATTATATTTAAATTATTGCTTTTTTTTCCTGTTTTCCTTTGGTAAAGGTTATCTCTGATCCTTTTATATAGTTGCAACTTTTCATTTCCAATGGTATTCAACATACATTTGATATCAGTATTAACATCACATCTTATAAGTTATACTGTTACAGTTATACTTTATAACATGACATTAATAACTAAAAATTGTAAAACTAGTAGTGTTACTAAATAGTTAGGCATTTCCTCATTAAAGATATTTAAGTACACTGTTTGTATTACCTCAAAGTAAAACTAAAAGTTAATGATAATCATATTCATAGTTAATGTACTAATATATTAACCACTTTTAAACAACAACATGAAGAAAAACTATTTCAGCTGACACTCGACTTAGGTTCAATACCTAAAAAATTCCATTAAAAGGTGTGTATTTCTTTCAGTTTATAAACATTAATTTTAAACAGCCATTACCTCTAATAGTACTATTCCTATTTTAACATCACTAGGAGGTTTAACACTGGTATACTATACATGTCAATTATTTTCGCCCTCTATTGCTAATACAATGAACTATTAGTAACGAAATATATTTGTTTAAGTAAAATCTATCTCAATGTTAAATAATGTACCTTTCATTATCAGTGCTATAAAAGAAAATATTTTAGGTCATATAATTTAGGTAAAAAAAAAATTAAGTTGGTATTTAAACATAATTTTTTTAAAAAAGAAGCGATCGTAAATCAAGAGTATAACATTAATACTAATTCGAAAATAATAAACTCTGGAAATAATGAATGGAAAGATTACAGAATTAATAAGTGCTTAACAAACTACTGTAAAAAATAATCTGTAATTGACTGAATTGGAATAATATTGCTAAAGAGGATGTTACTTGTTATTCCGGAGATGGAAAGGGTGTGGACTTAATGTACGTACTTAGATTTTCAAAACGCTTTTGAGAAGATGTCACAAAAAAAAAGGAGTACCTAAGAAAATCACACTGGTATAGGTCAGTGAAAGACTATACTTAACTGGATTGTAGGTTAGTACGGTGTATGAGGGAAACGAAAGGTTGTTTTTGATGGAGTCCACTCAATGTGGACTCTTGATACAAATGAAGTGCCTCAGGCATAGGCGGAGGCACAGTTAGTAATTTTAACGCTACTACGCACTGCGTGTCCACGTTTTACCGTTATATGTTAGTAAAAGCTCCATTTGAAATCTGTAAACGCCACATTTTATAGAGGTTCTATTCCCCGATCCCCTCAGTATTGCTATCTTTAGATCTCAGATACACTTTATCCCTCCCCGACTCCCAGGTAACTTTTGCTTCCTCCGCCTGTGTAAGGATCGGTGCTTGGGCCTTTACATTTTATTTACATTAATGATATTGATAAGAACATAATAAGTAAATTAGTGAGGTTTGCTGGTGACTTAAACTCTTACGTATTTCTACCTGTATTAATGATGTTGAGGTACTAAAGAATTTTTTTGGATCAGTTGATAAATTTGGCAATTGACCTTTACTTATAGTAAGGGCAATACAGTATATTTGGATGATCACAATTTTTGTCATGTGTTTTTATATAAATTGGAATGAACTCAGTACCGTGACTGAAGAAAAGATCCTTGCCATAGTGATGGAAATCTCTCAGACAATCGAGGCCGTGCTGTATTGTTAATAGCAAAACTAAATGAAGTTTAGGGTGTGTTAATAGACATAGTGACTACAAGTAAAAAGACATAATTATCTCTATATACAAATCACTAGTTAGGGCTCATTTGGAATACTGTGCACAGTGTTGATATCCTTATCTAAGAAAGAACATTTATTTGTCGGAGGTTCTAAGACAGATCCATGAGGAACCCAATTAATCACATATTCGATTCCAATCAGAATGATATTCATTCATCACAACTCTCTGTTTTCTACCTTTAAGCCAATCTTTAATCCAGCTTTTGAGTTATTCCAATTCCACAAAAAATCAACCTATTAATCAAACTATTGTCCAAACACTTTTGAAAGCCTTCTGGAAGTCCAGATGCAAAACATCAACAGGGTACCATTATCCAGACAAAGCAAAACTTTAACAGAGAACTTCAACATACTAGTGAGACAAGAAAATTCCCTTTGTAAGTCAATGTTTTATAAGTAAGCTACTAGAATGTATTCCAAACAACAGAAATCGGGTTAATTGATGTATAATTTTCTGTGTCTTCCTCATCTCTTGACCCGCTTCTTTTTAAAAAATAGATATCACAGTGACCACCATTCAAGCATCCTAGCTACTCTGTGGCTAAAGACTTCTAGAAGCTCACACTCGAAAATGCATTGTTTAACATTTCTCCTATGAATTCTTCCTCAACAATAAGTCTTACATTTAAAACAATATTTCATTGACTATTTTTTCGTTTTCAACATAAACATAAAAATCATTTAAATCCAAGTAGATGTTACAAGCTAAGAGCCGTCCAAAGTCCATGTTACCTTCACTATAGCCCCCAGTGGCACAGCGGTATGTCTGCGGACTTACAACGCTAGAAACCGGGTTTCGATACCCGTGATGGGCAGAGCACAGATAGCCCATTGTGTAGCTTTGTGCTTAACTTCAAACAAACAAACAAATACACCTTTACTATAACTTTTGTTTTCAATTTAAATTTGTTTTTGATTTTTCGGTATTGTACCACATCTTCCATTTTACAAGAAATTTCCACATCTTAAAGCTCAATATTTATCATTTACTAAAAATTGAATATTTCTGTTCAACCATTTAGGATTTGGTCTCCGATTTGAGCATATCAATTTATGAATACAATATTTCTCCACAAAACTAAAAGATATAATGATAAATTTCAAAGCTTCATTCAAACTTATCCCTCTGAAGCCAGTTTTCCAATTAGTTTCTTTAATCAAACCAGTTAGTTTCTGAAAGTCAGTTTTTTCTAAAAGTTAGGACACTATATTAATTTGTTTTACACTTAATCTCAAAATAAACATCAAAGATAATAATAATATTATGATCACTGATACTTAACATGTTGGTTGCCGTGTGACCCACCGGAGGGTCACAGTACTCTGTCTTTTTGATGCACTATTTCTCCATGGTGCTAAAGCTAAGGATGCTAGGAATATTATCTGGCACTTTGTAAATGTACAGCTTTATATCTACTTCATGTCGATGTTGCATATATTTGGTGAGACACAGCAAATTTGGAAAATAAAAGCAATTGATCATAAACATTTATTTTACATTCAAGATAGGCTAAGATAAGCTAGCCTATAGACAGATAGATAGTCTGAATTCAGCATATTTTCCACGAATTTCCTTGTAAATTATCAGTGCATTTACGACTGCTGTCTTCAAAAGAAATTCAAATGCAACTTTATGGTGTCATCGCTTAGTTTTTCTAAGAGGTAAGAAGAAGATGGCCATTTGATCGGAAATTTCAATGCCTTGCTTTAAAGAGTTATAGTACTGAATTACTTCTGGTTTCAGGATGTCTTCATGGGTAAGATATTTCTTCCCAGTACTCACGAAATTCAAGACATGGTTGGTGGAAAGCATCATCAAATCTCGTTTGTCTCACATTTTGGCTACAACTATGCCATCAGTTTCTTCCCGGCCGATATCTCGCTTTTATTAGCTTTGCCGTTGTTACATTCTTTGGGTTACTTGCCCTGTTTTTGTGAAGTGTCCCTACAAGGTGCGTTTGGCGATCAAACAGAGCTTTGGTCAAGGAGATGGATGTGTAGAAATTGTCTGTAGCGATCGTTCTTCCTTCATTCAGGTAATTTTCTGCAAGGTCTAAAACGATTTGAGAATAATTTGTCACTCCATCAGTTGGTCTGCCTAATTATCTGGAATCCTCTTTTCCAGCATAAGCATAGTTATTGTAGTGTAACCGCTTGAATTACACGACTTATATATTTTCAGATCATATTTTTGCAATTTTCCTGGGTCATATTGTCGGAATTCGAGATGACCACGCCATAGCACCATAGTTTTATCAACAGCTATCAGCTCACCTGGTATCTTAGCACCAGTGAAATTTTCTCTAGAATTTCAAGAAGGTTTCCGATTTATCTCAGTCGATCCATTCCAACACTCTGATTATCAGCAAAGTGTGTGAAGCGTAATAATAACTGTAAGCGGTTTTATCCCATGATGCTGGGAACAAAGTGATTTTTGTTTAATTTCTTTTTACCCCAGTATAGCGCAATTTTTGATATTTTACAATCCCATGTATATTACTATTCCCAAAAACTTGTTCAGTTCTGCAGCATTGGTGGCTCTCCAGACGTCCAACCTGGATTTTCGACGTACCTGCTTGTTCATAATTACCTGCTGGGCATTTATATTCGTCTGATCAACCAAGAGATTATAAATATCATCCATCACTATCAGGTTGAACATATTGTTGCGTCACGTTTCTAGAACTATCTTGTTCCTTCATGAATGCCCTAGCATTTACTAGATAGGGTAGTCTGGTATATATATATAAGAGGGTGATAACGTGACGGGATAATGTGTGTAGGTAAT